ACTCTTTTAAATTTGACAGACAATTGCCATAAACTTTTTGTTTCCATAGGCATTGTTAACACCACCTAATTTATGGGTTTAAATGAGTGAAACCAGCGAGGAGAAGAAGAAGAAGAAGAAAAATACACCAAACTGAAGCATGCGCTAAGGGAATATATATATATATATATATATATATGTTTTATTGTGTAAATATTAGCCTGGAGCGATTGTTGAAAATGCGATGTCGATTTAATGGATTTTCAGTGGGAAACATGATTTCTTACCATGTATGCTTCACACCGAGCACAATCATCGTCAATTCGCGTCGACATGAAAACAACAACAACAACAATAAAAACTCTATCGGCCAATTGTTTTCGATATGATCCGAAAGCGCCAGTTCACAACTAGACCGGCAGCCGAATGCGGCAATGGAAAATCACATTTTATGATTACGTGCATCAATTTTCATTTCGTCTTTATCGTGATGACATCTTCGTTATATTGAATTTGGTAATTTGCCTGATCGTCATCAGCATTGTCGCCATCGTCACAGCTTGGGCCGCCACCGCGGGATAACTTTACAAGCGAAAAAAACGAGTTTTTATATCCATTCAATATTCGAATAATAATCAAACCGAGATGTTTTATGCCTTTTTAATTTTTTAATTTAATTTTAATGATGGTTGGATATTCATCGTCACCATAAAAAAAAAATCAACGGCCCAAGTAAAATAGGAACTCAAATCACGCACAGACACTCACACATATCAGACGTATATATTCAGTGCGCGTTTCTTTTTGGCGGTGCCATTTTTTCTTTCGTCGTTTATCAGTCCAAGGTCATCATGGCACACAACACAAGCGTCATAATGATATGATCACAGTAAATGGCAATTTTTATGCCTATAAATTGACAAGCAGCAACCAGTCAATGGTGGCGGTGTGTGTGTATCTGCAATAATGCATCAGATGCTGCATTCAATAATAATTGGCTGGTTGTTTTTTAATGGCTGCACTGAGATTGTGGTGTGTCTCTTTTTTTATGGTTCACTAATAAATATTCAACAAGTTCATCTGGTTAGCAAGTAAGCAAGTCAAGGAAATTGTAAATGTCTACTACCATGCTGCGTTGAAAGTGGCCAATTAAATTGGGTTTCATGGCGCAATATAAAAGTCGATACAATCGTACACACACACACACACACACTCCGATACTTTCAATCACTCTATGAATAGTTAAATTGAAAAGTGCTCTGTTTTCGTTTGCGATTTTTCGACTTAAAAAAAATGAGTCGGAAAGAAACACGGAGGGCATGAGTGTGATCGAAAATTTGTGTCATTTGAAAAATAGAGTGTTGAAAAACCGATCAGTCCTTCAAAATTCGGTGCGTCAATTGAATGGTTTCGGAGTGTGTGAGAGCAATGTTGGTTGGCCAATTCCACATCAATTTGTGTATTACAAATCTATCAACATTTTGGCCCTTGTTTCGTGCGCTTTAACCAAGCATTTAGCATACTTTATGTATTGCAGCACATACAAACACACTCAAAATGGTCGGCATGTTGTTGTTCAATGCGCAAGAGAACCATCAAGGTTATATGAACTTGTGGCAAACCCGAACTCAATCAACGCACCGAGATATAAATTTTTTTTTAAAAGAGAGAACAAAAAAATTGTTTTAAACCACTGTTGTATGGCACGGAGGTTATTTGGTTGAAATTTATGGTTATGTAGTTCGCACAGTTCCACGCTTTCCATCAATTCGTTTTGGTATGAGGAGATGGTGAGGTAATGCCGATCATGACTGAGCAGAAACCCGATGCGATAAACCTAACTGCACAAATATTAACAATCTGGAGAAGAAGAAAAAAGTCTGATGATGTACTTTATTAAATAGTACAGCGGAACGTACGGCTACTTCTGCAACAGCAAGAGATGGCAGTGAAAAATTCGACGTTCCACTCATCCAACTGTGCAACAAGAGCAGTTTATGTTAGAAAAAAGAATTGCACTTGTAAATGCGTCATCACTTTGATGCGGCTGCAATATTCCATTGCATATTGCAATATGGAATGCAGTAAAAGAACCATATCAAACCAATGTCTACATGGATGAAATTGTCGATGTTTCACGTTGTACAGTATGTTGCACGCAAAATCATTTCACACAACGGATCTGGCGAACGAGAACGTTTAAAATGGCTTACGTTTTATAAATGTACGGTGCGTTCTGGTCTTCTGCTTCCATACACATACACGATGCAACACAATTGAGTTGATGAGTGGCAACAAACCAATAATAACGGGTGTTCTTTTTCTGCATCGAATGTTATGGTCGCCGACATTTGAGCGAAAGATCTAAATACATGGTGCTTTCAGATTGCGTACACTTGTTCTCGATCCATTTAAAAGTGTGTGAGCCACCGCTAGATATGCTCCATTTTTTATGAGTGTTCATTTGAATATTTCGGTTCGGAAACCGGCTGCCACAGCACATTTTATCGAACACGATCGCCGGACAGAATGAGAGAGAGAGAGAGAGAGAGAGAGAGATGGAAATAGAAAGAGACTTTGGTAACAGTGAACAGTTTGGTCAAATTTTCAACCTCATCGTATTTCGGCCAGTCAATCGCAAACACCGAGAGCGAAAGATATCCATTTTGCATCGGGAGGCCCGATTTATTGTTTGCTCTGACATTCGCTGTGTTCTCGTCGCGAGAATGTCGAGATAATGGGTTAATTGTGCTGACATTTGCAAGAATGTAGGGTAGACTCACAATTTGTCTATGTGTCAAAGGTGACAAGAATAGAAATGCACACCACATACATAAGCAAAATCATAAACTGAACAATATAATGCAGTGAAGAGAAAAAAAGAAGTGAGCGACGAACAAGAAGAAGTAAAAAATAAAGTAGAAACGTGTTCAATAGCCATATCAAATGGACTGACTGTGTGCGCTCAGTAAAAAAAAAATCTTCATCAGAATCGGTTTTCATCAATTGTGTGCGCCAATTTCGAAAATGTGTACGGTGCTTAACTTTCTGAAAATTTGCATAAATACGGTTTGTGTTGCGGTTCGAATGGGCGAAACAACAACAAGCGAGCGAGTCGAAAAAAAAAGTCATGCTCACTTTCACTTCTAATGAATCTGTGCTATTTTATCGATGCTTTGTGACACCTGACTTAATGCAAAATACGCTATAAAAACATTGACGGAAAAGCATACACAACACACTTGGCGTTGAGATACATTTATTTATACGTATATACATATAATTGAAATGGTTTGCGGAAAAAAATGTAATATGCTAAAATTGAAGCCCGAATAGAGAGCAGCTCGATAAAAGTCGATGTATCTCTTTTTCTTCATCTCTTCGGTACTTTTGTTGTTGTTGTTGTTGATTTTTTCTCCACTCTTCGGTTTATTTCGTGTATGGAAAGAAATGTGTGAAAACGATTGTTGTATGCATGTTTGAGCACTCGAGCATTTCAATTTTCCGTACTTCGCTTTTATTTCTTTCTTCTTTACATCATTTGCCCTTTTGTTTGGACGGTCAACGTTGAAATCGTTTTGTGTGCACTTAAATAATAATTTTTGTATGGCTTTATGGTGTTGTTGTTGTCTTCTTTTTTTTTCTTCACCTTTCTGCTGTGATTTTCCATCATCGGTTTGGCCATCGATCACACACACATACAGAACCTAAAACAGCGCTGAAGATTTTCTTTTGGTCTTGATCAAAGGCGCTCAAGTTTGCTTTTGTTTGGTTTCAAACAGAGGAAAAAAAGTCGAAGAAGAAACAAACATAGAAGAAAAATATGGAAAAAGCACACATAACGACGGCCAAATTACCAAAGTCACGAATTCACTTATGCGATTCTCATCAATTGTGGTGGTGTTGGCGGTCGGCCGCAGCTAGCAACACAATCAGTGTGAAAATATCGCAAAAGAATGATATAATTATTAATATTTTTAGCGAGTGAATGACGTACAAAACAGTTTGTTAGTTTCTAATCCAATTATTCTAATTCCATATTTAAAAAGATTTTCTTTTTTGTAATTTTTCCCAAATTTGGACGATTTCACTTTTTCTCCTCGTGTCTCGACTCGGCCGCTTGTTGCGCTGTCGTTCTTTTGTTGTTTTTGTTTCTAGAATTCGATTTCTGTTTCGCTCTATATTCTGCGTTCAATTGTCGACCGAGAAAATAAAATTTAACACCAATTTTACCAAAAAAAAAAAAAACTATGGTAGACAAAAACGAAGCAAATTGAAAGGCCGAGAACATTTGTTTCAATCTGACATTTTGCCAAAAAAACAAAACCAACCAAATACAACAACAACGACAAAAGAAGATAGAAACCGAAACCGACAAATGCGCTAAAACTGTAACTACATGTGATTCATTGTGTGTGATGTATTTTATTTCTTCGCTCGTCGCTCTGATATTTTCCGGTATTTCGAAACACGTTTCGCATACGCAACAATAATAATGAAGAAGGAAAAAGAAACAATAGTGCAAACGAGTTGAACGTAATTTGAAATACGAATAGAGATATATGGTGTTTGGCGGTTGTTTCAAATCAGATCGGAATGAAGGTCATACACGATGAAAACCAAATGGAAATGAGAAACGCTAATCGATCAAATGCTCTTTAAAAACGCTTTTCGATCGTTTTTTTTCTTTGGTTTTTTGTTGTTATTTTTGTTGGTGGTGCTGAGCCCGTGTGTTTCCTCATCCAGAATCCGACAAACTCATTCATTTTCATGTCTGACGTTTGAAGACATTATGCGTCCATCGTTTCCAAGGTGGACGATTCACTAACATTTACCTTTAACCAAACAAACACGCTGACGCGCTCTTTCAATTGAACCACGAAACTGAATTAGTTTTCCGTATGAGTGTTTTTTTTTATTATCATCATTTTTCATGCACTATTTTCAATTTATACGATTGACTCTATAAACTAGAAATCATTGCTTACAACCATTTTTTTTCTTGTTCTATTTTATTGCAGGTTCAGGTACGTATCAAGACAAAGAGAAACCATAATCCATTTCCTGCCCGTTCAGTAAGTGTGAAAATCAAGTCAAAACAACAGAAAAAAAAGCGAATTTCATTGGAGAAAAGTTTTGAAAAAGAAAAACAGTTTCACCGTTAGTTGTGTTGTTTTTTTAACGACTTCCATTCAGCTTCAAAATTTTCAATGTTTTACGATATTCGATTTTCTTTGCGTTGCCTTGGTCTTGGCACAAAGAAAACAAGTACGTAGAGTAAAAAATTATTATTATTTTAGAGAAAATGTCGGCATTTAAAGTCAAAACAAAGAAATTTCACTTTCTTCATATGTTTAACAAGAGCCATAAAAGTTTAGCCGAAACGACTTAAGTGGAAAAAATATCGCCCGTTTGCGATTTTTTTTTTTGTGTTTACGTTTTTTCTTCGGCTATTTTTTTGTTTCTTTGCAAATGTGAGAAAAAAAGAAAAGTTGACACTTTTTTTAATGGCCCACGACTTTTGTCTGGGCTACCCAATGTATTTCGACTTTTGCCATGTGAATGGCAAAACTAGATGCAATTTAATTTGCCACTTCTAAATGGTATTTGGCAGTGCGGTGAGCACCGCCCCGCCAGTATATTGTTGTGTGTGAACCCATAAGTGAATCGAAGCTGTTCGAACAATTAATTAATTTACATTCACTGGGTAATTTTGTGTCGCCGTAATGATATTTATGACTTTCGGTTAATCAGCGTAACAAATTTACGGGCATTCGATTTGAAATGGAAAACTATCAACGGTGAACCATTGCATTGGACATGTGTTTCTTTTTACGTTTGTCTCTGGCAAATTTTCGCTGTAAACATATACACACACACACACACACACACACACGAGTGGAAAAAAAAGTACAATGGCATTATGTAATGGCAAAGTGTTGGCGCACTACAAACAACAAACGACGATAATACGGATATGTCCCGTCCAATGTTTTTTTTTTGTGCCAATGCAGGAAAAAAGCACGACACAAACACTCAACAAAAAGTGAAGAATTGTTTATTGAGCGAATGTTACGTTTGCAAATTGGCCGTCTAATAAGCACTTTTCAGATATCATTGTCGGGCTGTTTTTCGACAGAAAATCCACAATAGCCTCCAGTATGTTTTTCTAACTGTTTATATATGAGACAATTTAACTAAATTGATATGTTTATTAAACAATTCATTTTGAATGATCAATTAAATTCGAATGGATAATGGGTCGGTAACATAGTGCGGAACACAATTGATTGTGGATCACGATCAATATATGGCATGGATATTCTAGTGCTCGCGTATTTTGAAGCGCGCGCGCATTCAGTTTCTGTGAACGAAAAATTCAATTGCCATTGCGACATATATGGTGTTCTAGTGTGTTTGTGTGTGCCTGTGGTATACAGTCGAAAATCGCAAATTTAAGCCCATATTTTGTTCCATATACGGGCTACATTTACTGACGATATGGCAGTAATTTTAATTTAATTAAAAGAGCTTCAAACTTGTGTGATCACGGAGACAAGATACACACGGCTTATTTTTTTCTCGTCTTGATTTTGATCAATTCCTCTCGGTCCCTTATTTGAGACAGTGTAGTCGAAATAGCAAATTGAAATGGGCCCGTCGCTTTTGTCTCCCCGGAGTTGTTTGAATGATTCATTTGCGATATAGCATATATATAAGATTGTGCACAATTTAGAATGGTCATTTTTCAAATACAAACAACTTGGAACATAATTTGAAAAACAAATTCTTGAGCATGTTTACTCATTAACTCGTTGTCCTCCGTCTCACTATCTCGCTCTCTTGTTTTGCTGGCGATTATTTTCTGTTGGTATTATTTTGGTTTTCGTTAAGGCAGCAGCAGATTTAAAGAGATACATCAAGGTCACTGTGTCATTTTGTTTGTTTTTACGGCTTTTTCGATGTAATTTTCATTTGAGAAAATGTCAATCGTATTAAAATTTTGCATGCGCACACATACATACACACACTGACTGTAATTTAACCAATTTCAAGCGCAAAAATAACAGGCACTCTATCTATTTTTATAATAATTTGTGCTACCTGAACCGGGCAATCCCATGGAGTGTCACAAAAGTCGAGCTGCTTGGCCTTTTTTTTCTGCTGCTATTCCATTTCGTTCGCGTTTCGTTCTCGGTCAAATCGGTTGTTAAGAACGAAGCTCCGGTCCAGAGCCATGAAAAAATTGATATAATGTATATATACTCAGTCGCATTAGTACCGAGAGAGAGACTTGTAAACGGCACAATAATGCGCAATTTGATCAGCAGCTAAATTATTATACAGTGTGCATATTTTTACTTCACGGTCACTGAATCGCCAGTTCTAATTGTCTGAGCTGAAAATAAGACCAAACCGAATGAGACACTTATTCGGCTTGTCATTGCTTGAACCTATCTCTTTCTCTCTCTCTCTCGCTCTCACTAACTCCGTATTTGCACTACAAAATGCGCAACAAAAATTTATTTTTATTTATAATAAAACTCATTGAAACGACTCGCCGTTTTGTTCATTTTTTTCTCTTATTTTTCTCACTCTCTTTATCGTAATCGGAGAGCACTTCGGCGCGGTGTTTTCGTTCATTCAATGTAATTACGGTTCCTTGTTCATTGTTTATTGCAACATATTCAAACAGCGCGCGCATAAGTATTTCTAGTCGGTTTTTAATTCGTACACTTTTCAAATGAGCTACGTGAACCTTTTTTTTTCGCTGCTATGCGCACATATCAGAGATGCCGTTTGTTTAAACGATATTGGAATCGGCAATATTCAGCAACAAAGAAAAAAATCACGCCGATTCGAACTCTTCGACTTGCCGTTTATTTACCATAAGCGCGCCTGGGTTGTGTGTGCTGCAATTTGGATTCGTGCGATTCATTTGGCAGAGAGAAACCGAAAAACTAAAAGTGTTTTCCACCCAATCATCGATGTAAACGGCAAACAAATCATAATAAATGGCCACAGACAATGCATAAACGCTACAATTATTTCCATTTAGATCTTTTTTCCGTGTTTGCCCACCTAGCCGCCGCGTCTCTTCGGTCAATCTCAATAGTGTTTTTCCAACCAATCTTCATTCACTCACTCTCTCTCGCCGCATACATGTTTGTTTACATGTTTTCCAGCCAACACGCCATTAACTGTTCACATGTAGTTTTGATTTTTGTGTGTTTTTTTTTTCTGCAATTCTTTTCTTCGATTTAAAATATTATTAAACAAAAGTTTTTCCATATTTCAGTACATTGTTTTTGTCTCATGTGGTGCGTCAAAAGTTTATCCAAAAGCGAAAATCATATTTAGACAGCGACGACGATGTCGACGTCCACAATGTCGACGACAATAACAATCAATAGTGCTCATAATTTTGGAAGCCATTGCGTCTGCGCACAAAGATAATTGAACCTTCTCAAAGCCAAAAACACGTAATGGCTTTCATTGAGCAATGATTTCACCGTGACAAAAGACAATATCAAAACAATGTGTCTTGCATTCTACGTCTGGTAAATGTTCAATTTTACAAACCGAGAGACGACGACAAAAAATAAACGCACACATAAAATTATGAAAAAAAAAAATAAACAAATAGACCCACAGCCGTGTAAATGTAAATTGCGTTGTGTATAGACTTGTATGTCCGCCTTTCTTTTCCCGTACATGCCGAAAAAAAATCACAGAAAAAATCACAAAGCAAACACACCAAAGCGCAAATGCAAAGAAAAATTAAGCAAAAAAATGGTTTTATTTGATTGCTTCCCCAATACTGGAGCTACATATACTGTTTTATTTCTCTTTTTTTTCTTTGCTTTGCGTTCATATTTTTTTTTGTGTGATCCATTAAATAACTGCGTATTAAAAGTAATGTTACCGTCGAAGAAATCAGATGAAATCAAGTTTCAGGTGGAAAAGTGTAAGCGCTACAGTTTACCATTATTTCAAATGAAAATGCAACTTTTGCTCTCCTTTTTCCTCGACTCATTTACTACAGAAACCAAAAACAAAATCACAAACAGTGTTGACACATAGAATCGATGTAAACATAGAAATCCATATACTACACTGTGCATGGGTCAATTCGTCGACACTGTTGTCAACCATTGATGATGATTGTTCACAAATAATGCCACAATTGAATTTGGAAATTGCGTTTTCGGTGCCTACTAACTGCAGTCACAACAAACACAACAAATGATGAAATTCCCACAATTTCTTACATAATTCGAACGAAAGAAAAAAAATATATATACAAACATGTGTGTGCTGGGTGTTGATTCTTACTTTTTGATGAATGTTTAATAAAACATCATCATTGTTTTCCAACCACCGTCAAATAACAACAGAAAAAATTTGAAAAAGTTAAGGAGAGAGAGAGCGAGAGAAATATGCTTGATGTTTCGCTAAGCCATTCTATTCGGTCGGAGATCTGAAAGCCGCGGTGATGAGATAGTGAAAAATGAACGTGTGTTTCTTCATAATTTTTACGAAGAGAAAAAAAAGAGAAGTTATTAGACGATCGGTTGTGCCGTTAAACACACGTACATCGGTTGGTGTGTAGATTGCAACGAAATAAGAGTTTTGTTCTGTACTGTTTTGTATATGTTGAATAAAAACATGTTTTTCGGATTATTTAATTGATACCTTTATTATTTAAAGTTGGCAATCATAGGAGTTGGTTGTTGTTGCTGTTGGTGGTGTTTCATCAACTTATCTGGGCTTGTAGCGATAAGTCCAGAAGTTATTATATGCAATCAACTGCTTCAATCAAGCGTTCGTTGTTTTTTTTTTCTTTTCTCTTTCAACATAAAACAGACGCGATCAAGATATATGGCCGTTTTTTATTCATTCAAATAATGCCAAAACAACTAACAACATACTTTATTATAAATAATAAATGAATTTCGCACATTTCAGGGAACTAAACGAATAATGGAAAGAAAAAAAGGCATCTTTTTCCTATTTCGCTCCGTAATCGCCCAATGACTTCTCAATTATAACGTGGCGCCGGTTGTAAAACGAC